ACCCTTAAAGCCTAGAGGCTGTAGACACCAGGCCTAGGGATAAGGACCCATCAAGAGTGAATGGGGTTGTGAAAAATAATGCAATAGCATTAAGTGATCTACAACATGAGAAGAACACAATTTGTCTGGGGTAAATCAGGCTATACGGTCTCATAATGGATAACAGTCTCATTAGGCAGAAGCATGCTGCTGTTACTCTAATTTTTTACTTAAAAATTAAATATTGTTTAATAGTGAAGCTACAGGGGTGGACTGTGCTGGTTTGCCTGTTGGCAATTCCGCCCTATTTCCCCATTTAATCTCCTGTACCAGAGGGTTTGGGAGTCTTAGAGTCTGTTTCCCATAATCTTTGCCAGCAGTTTCTGGGATTGATTCCTCAAATGGCAGGTATTCATGAGACCTGGAAGGCAGAGATGAAGCAGAGCCACATGACTGCTCCTCTGGCAATAGAGGGCATGCATGCAGGCTTTGCAGATGTGCCATTTTAGAGCAGCTTCCACTGGTTTTTCTTGACAACTTCCTTGAGTGGCTGAACCAGCCCCAATCTGCCTGCCTCCTGTGAAAAATAAACCATTAGCTTAAGTGACTGAAGTTTGGGTTTCTTTTACATGCGATTAAACATAATCCTGATAAAATTTGTATAAAAGGGATGACAGCTTTCATTTTCTGACAAAATTACATATGCAAACATATCTGTAGAGACAAATGTTTTCTAGAAGTAAAACTTGAGCAATATTATAACATTGATTCTTGTTTGAATGGGGGATATTGGGCAATCCTATGTATAATGGATAATTTATTAAATTCCATTTGTGTCAAACGTACTGAATCATTGAAAATGTAATGATTGTTGTACAATGTTTGAAGGTTTATTATCAAAGTATAATTCAGGGATGACATTTATCCAGGTAGATGAGAGAACATAATTTAAATTCTTTCAGGGACAGAACTTGGAGAAACTAAAAAAATGATTAACACATACTTTAGACATTCTGTAAGTCACAGCTACCTTAAGCAAATGTTGATAAAGGCTTTGTAATTTAATTACCTAAGTTTCTGTACTGCACATTTGATATTGTTGATTAAACCGGGAAGTTGTGTGCTTCAGATACCGGGAAAAATGGGTACATGCTGATGTGAACATTTAAGAACAAGAGTTGTTTCAGGCTTGTCTTGCTACTAAATTTTTAGGTTTTATGTTCTTGCTTGTACTCATGATCATGAGTTCATAGAGAGGAAATAGGATATGGATTCAGACACATGTTAACAAGGTACAAAAAGAGATTCAAAATACTTATTGATGATATTTAGCATGTAGAGATCTACACCAAGCAGAAAGACATAGGGCAAAGGAAAACTGGACAGTCTCATTACTAAGATTTTAGATGTAACATAGTGCAGTGACTTAAGAGAGTATGAATTCTGCAGTCAGTCTTCATGGGTTCAAACCCCAGCTCCAACACATATGAATAACTTAGGCAAGTTAGGCAGTTCCTTTGTGCCTCAGTTTCCTTATCTGTAAAACAAGGATAATTTTCTTATGTCAATGATTTGTCATGAGGATTAAATGTTAATGTAAGTGATATGCCTCACACATGGTAAATACGTTTACTATTATTACTATGTTACCCCATTTGATTGCTGGAATGAAACCCATTATTTTAACAATGTTAAAGATTCTGGGAAATCAACACAGATGTATGGCCTTCATGAAGGGAATGTGTTTGCTGTGGTTTGAATATGGTTTGAACCCATCAGAACTCGAAACTTAATCCCCAGTATGGTAGTATGAAGAGGTGGGGCTTTGAAGAGGTGATTGGGTCATGAGGGCTCTGCCCTTATAAATGAATTAATCCATTCATGGATTGATGGGTTATCACGGGAGTGGAACTGGTGGCTTTCAAAGTCCAAGGTCGAGGTGCTATATCTGGTGAAGGCCTTTCTACTGGTGGGAACTCTCTGCAGAGGAAGAGCAGAAAAGAGATCTGAGCCAGTACATTAGCACACTGAGCCCCCCTCACCTGTGATGACCTGCGCTACCTTGCAGAGTCCCCATTCAGTAAGAAGGCCCTCACCAGATGAGGCCCCCCTCAACTCTGGACTTCCCAGTCTCCGGAACTATAAGAAATAAACCCCTTTTCTTGATAAAGTACCCAGTTTTGGGTATTCTGTTATACACAACAGAAAATGGACTAAGACAGTGTTCATGCAGTAAACTTCATTCAAAGCATTACAGGAAATGATAAAACCCCAGTAATTATAATCATAAGCTTACTTAGCTTTAGAATGCATTTGTGCATCATGGGGTCACATGTAATAATAGACCCATATGCTAAATCCTTGAAGTGCTAAGAAACAAACATTAATTTTAGTGATGAGATGATTTTACTAATTTGCAGATAAACATCACTGAAAAACTTTGCCTTTTAACAAATACTTGTATAGCCAGATGGGCATTTTTTTCCTTTTAAATAGTTTTAAACACACATACAATTCATTGATCTGCACTCATTTCTGATAGTTGCTTGAATGCTGAATGTAAGATGGAGGACAGAGATCAGATCTTTGCTGATATCCACCTATGTTTTTGTAGCCTTTATTAATGAGGGATATCTCAGGCTGAGATACCACTGCATTATCTGCAATGGTGTTTTGCTGCTAGCACCAGAATCACAGAGTACTGTGTAGAAGACTGCTCCATGGATGAGATTATACAGCTTGCTCAAGAGTTGAACCAAATCCTAATTTAGTCTCTCAAAGTGTTCTTTACCTTTTTTTAGGCTTGTGGTTCATAACATTTTAGAGTTCATCATGCCTTATGCCTATATGACTTTGGAAGCAGCAAGACTATTCCAGCTTGCAATTTACAGGCTCAGAGGTATTTAAGAACGTCCACCTCTGTCCTTCTGATAAAAGTGTGCCAAAACTTCTAAAGAGATACGTTTTAATTACGCTATATTTTGTACAAAATCTCTCATTTGTTTTTTCTTTTTGTGTTCTGTACTGGGGGCTACTGCATAAGATGATTAAACCTACACAGGGTATGGTAAACTGCTTTGAGAGTTGCTTTGTGTTAAAGTTTATTTAAAAGCAACATATTAAAGATAGAGAAAGCTAGCCATTGCAACATTATGAAAGTCAATGTATTTCTATTAAAGCAAAGAGGTTTTGAGAGATTTACTAATAAAGAAACGTACTGCCTCTAAAACTCCAAAAGTAGGCTGATCCTCTTTAAATTTCTGAAGCAGAAACAGATCTGTAGTCTGAGAAGTGGTTTATTATTGATCCAGCTGCTAGGTGTTAGGAAGACAGGTTGCTGACAACTGTTTGTAGTAAAATGTTCCACCACCACTATGCAAGGTAAAAACTGAAGAGCTTTTGAAACTGCACACAAGCACTTGGGAGGTAATGGTGATTGGAAACACCTGCAAGAAATTTATCACTTTTATTAAGAAACAATGATTGTACAATTCAAGATAAAAACCAGATGTCTGATGAGTTGTTTCAGAAGGTTAAAAAAAAAAATGGCTCTTTATAAGAAATAATGGTAAAAAGACTCATTCAGTTTGGCAAGACATTTTATTCACAAAATCTCCCGTTCCTCCTTAACTTTCTGCTCAAAGAACTCATAAGGCTGGAAGCCGATGTTTGATATTTACACAGCTCAAAATCTGAATGAATACACACTAATGTCTTTTAGCTGTTTTATACACTATTCTGCTATCTCCTCCCTTCCTCCCCCGATCTTTGTTCTTAGAACATAATACTGAATGAAGAGCTCAGGGGCTGGATAAATAAAATCCCTGCTACCCCTCTCCACCACATAATTTGTTAGGAAATCCTACTTCTAAAATCATCCTCTTTTTTTGGAGGATGAGGCCATTCTGTAGGATGAAAGCAACCAGCACAGAAATGACTTGTGATTGCTAGTGAAACCCAAGACATTTTTATTGCATTGGGGAAGAACCACTGCTACTCTCTCTGGTTCACAGGAATCTTCTTTACATCTCAAAAGATATCAATAATTCAATGTGCCAAAGGAGTTATTACAACTTTTTTCTTAAAAACTAAGGGCCTTATTTCTTCTAAACATAGACGAAGCTTTCTTTTTCCACCTATCCCAGGTTCCCTTGCAGCTTGCCTCACTTGATTAAAACAGGAATTTTGGTAGGACAGTTAGTGATTTAAGTAGGTAAAGCTCAGGGGTGGTGTCTCAGTATGATACTGCAAACAGACAATAATCTCCAGGCATCAGCCAGTACAAACTAACTGTGCCAGCTACGGAGATGTAAGGGTGGGCTGGTCACCCCAGGCAGCACACTACAGAAACTTTTAAGAATCGTTAATACTCTGATAGGCATCTCCTTGCACTTACTTCCTGAGCATCAAATATGTAAGGTGCTAAATATATAATGCTCTTCCCTCCTACCACCAGGCAATCAAGAGAGCAAAAAGCTGCATAGCAGGCTGCATACCAATAGCAGTCCCTGGTGTATGTCCCCCAATCTTCCTCCACTCCTCCTCTTGCTTGGAATCTTAGGATGTTTCCCCTTATGTGCTTTCTTGCCAACCAGCTGATGAAGGGTGGGAATAGGAAGCTTTCTCAGAAACTCAAGGGAAGAAGCAATCTTGGCAAGCGTTCATTTATTCACATAACATAAGTCAGACACTCTGCCAGGGGCTGGTGACACAGATACAAATAAGACATGATTGTTGGCCCCTACTGTCCCTGGTATGTCTACTGGGAGGAAGCTGCTGAACAGAGAGAAGACATTACAAAGCCAAGAGGGCCAGTCTCCTGTCCGAGCTCGGTACATGTTGCATATATTCCAAGGCTTATGACTAGTTCTTTTACTTACAAACATTGTTTATAGACAGAGAGAAGACATTACAAAGCCAAGAGGGCCAGTCTCCTGTCCGAGCTCAGTACATGTTGCATATATTCCAAGGCTTATGACTAGTTCTTTTACTTACAAACATTGTTTATACTCAATTTCAAATGTCACACCCATCAACAGTAATAATGAATGGATTTTACCTATATTGACAGTTCTTTCAATATAAGAATGAACTGCCACAGATAAGATCCGATCACATCTTTTAGTTATGAGAAAGCTATTGAGACAAAAATGCTTTGGTTATCTAATAAGGGCAGACTTACTCATAATTCTATTTACTCCAAGCCAAAGAGAAACAAAATACAACAAATGCAGGATCTTGACTTCAGATCTCTGTCATGTGGTTCTCCTCCATGTGCATGTGGGTATCTGCTTGGGTCAGTGCCATGTGGCCCACTGGTGAACATGACCACCAGCTCAGAGCTAATTCACTGGTTTAGAATTATTCCTGACCTAATGTTTTCAATTCCCCTTTCCATAGGTATCCAGCACAGTCGAGTGAAGCCAGCGAAAGGTAGGGTAAAAAGAGCAAAATAAGAAAACTATTGTTTTTCAAATACAGAAGGGAGTGGGGGTAAATATTCTCAGCCCCCACGTTGAGCTGTAACAGAATATACAAACATTTCTACATTAATCCTTCATGTTTACACATATGTTCACATATTCTGCCAGATAGTCTCACCCCTATAGATACACCCCAATACCAATGCTTATAAGAATGTATAAGAACATACATGCTACACAGATATAAATACCCTATAAAAACCCACAGAAACATCCAGAGGCCCCAGAGAACAGAGGCATAAACAGAGCTGAGATTATAGGTCCTCCTCAGTAGAAAACACCACAAGTGAATGGAGGCTACAATAGAGAAACTGAGATGGGGGTTAGGATGTTTAAAAAAAAAAATCAGGCAGAAGAGAGGAAAGGTGCTTGGGAAATGACCATAAGATATTTATTAGAATCCTCTAGAAAGATCATTTACTCTTCCCAGAAGAATAGAAGGGGTTTGTTATAAGTGGCACAGATCAACTCAGCTTTCATGGTTTTCCTCTGCTTACATCACTGACCAAATTAAAGTACTGCAGTACTTCACTTTGGCTGACTGTGCAGGAAAAAGAAAAAAAAAAATGACTATTTGGATTGTGTTTAAATACTTTAGAACCTGATATAAGCTTATCAAGTGCATTAATAGTTTTACTTGGATGAAAAAGAAAATCAAAAATAAATTACTGGTAAAAATGAAAAAGATAGCATTTATAACATGACAAGAGGATTTTGGCAAAGACTATGTAGACATTAAAATAATTCAAATATCCACTGTCTTCTCCTGTTACTTTCTCTGCTAAACTTACCACACTGTTTAGTGAGCAGGTAGGTGTACACACACACAAATACATGTTCTGGCTAGTGTTCTTTGTTATTTGATTTTTGCTCTAGCATGGAACTTTTGATGTCTTAAACACGAAACTCTTTTAAACCAACTATATCCTCTATCTCTGAAGCACAAAATTACATGGTCTTGACCCAGAGAGAGAGTAGAGGCATTTAATAAACATTTCTCCTCCAGGTAGCTATGAGTCTGATCCTCTACAAAATGATTTATTTGCCCTTTTAATAAAGGCTGAAAATTTTTGAATTGAAAAATCAGTAAATCAAGGGGCATAATTTTTAAAAAAATAAGTTTTTTTTAAAAAAAGTATTAACTGGTGTCCATTAGACATATACCCAAATACTAGAGAGAAAACCAATTCACAGGGCATTTCAGGCATTCTGTTCCTGCATGTGCTTGTTTTACTGTATGAGTGCTCTAATCTATTATCTGTCCCTACATATTGTCCTATTAGTAAGACTGGAAGAGGTATTCACATGCTCTAAAAGAGGAACAGATGCGCTCTAATTAAACCAGAATCTAAAACCTAATGGGCCCAGTGTTCAAGGTACATCAGCATGTCTTAACTAAAAATTCTAATATTTGCCATTAAGATAAAAAGGGTGATACTATGTTATGTAAAGCTATATACTGTCAAGAGTTACCTGGAGACTCCATAATGTGTAACAATAGAGACTCCATAATGTGTAACAATCAAGTAGTGCCTAGGGACAGGTTCTTCTATTAAGCAATAAGAAAAAGTAGTTCTTGTTTTTGTTTTTAGGAGGATATTTAACACCTGGTATTCATAGCACCCTCAGTGTGAAGAACTCCACATATTTCAAAGCAAGTAGCTTTTGATTCCATGAGTGGGTTCACATCTAATTCAGCATTTTAGAATAGACCGTTACCAGCACTGGAGAGTTACAATGTCCAGAACAACAAATCAGTCTGCAAAGCAGGTGACCTAGATGGAGAAATAGTATCCGCATTAGGCAGCTTAAATGACTTCCCCAAGCCACCCAGTGATTCTAGGATACTCATGTTACTGTTGCTGCTCAGACCCATCAGAGAATAACTCAAGACAGTGGAATAAACATATCACACCATGGCATGAGCCCAGGAGACCCACAGAGCCATACGTCAATCTAAGAACCCAATCTGCACGTAGCAAAAAATGAAAGGCCTTATCTATACAAAAAGAGGAGTAATTAGTAAGTTTAGCTGCTTACAGAAGAGCAGGTGCTGATGTGAGGTTACTGAGGTCCTGGGCTAGGTGAAGAGGAAGGAAAAGAACACCGACTTCCATGCTCTCCGATGGGCACAAACTACACAACAGCACACACACGCTACACACGCTATACTGACAGCGGTCCTCTTTCTCACGATTATCCCATGAGAAGAAAACCAGACCTCTGAAAAGATTAGCAAAAGAGAGGCATGTTTCTACATAAAATAAAGCACATAAAACCCTCTCCCCAATACCCATCAAGAACATTAAGATGCCTCATAGGGAAAAACAGAAAAACGTTCAATTGCAGTTGGGACTTGACCTGATTTATCCTTCACATCCACACCCACACCCACTGTACGTCTTGGTCTATTCATCTGCCTGTCTGGTAGTGACTATCAGAGTTGTCAGGCAGAGCTCAATCTCCTGGTTAGGTGGCCTTACAGACTTATCCTACACCTAGGGACCTGCTCTGTGAGTGCCTGGCTGGGCCTCCAGGAGGAGCTGTGGCTCTTGGGGTGCAGAGGAGGGCCAGCTGCTGCTGGGCCACCCTGCTGGCACCATCTCGGCTTAGGCAAATGGGTTTCATGTGGAAGACTGAGGGAAAAGTCTCCCTCCTCCCAATCCATACACAATCTTCCTTTATAATGAACACTGTGCCATGCAATGTGCTGCAGGATTGTTCTAAGCACAGAAAGCAAGAGATGGGAAAAGTATCTGACTTTTGTATAGTGGAAAAAAAGCAAAATGTGGGGAAGGGGTGGGGGACGGTCCCACCAGTCCTGCTCCAGTGTCGCCAGGGCTCGGCTCATGAGGCCAACTGCTTCTTTCCCAACAGGCTGGAATTCCAGTCCCAGTGTTACCGGTATCTCAGTTTACCTGGCCACTCAATTGTTCCTGATGCTGATGGCGCCTGGAGCGTCTGACTGGCTGAAAAGTGCTGCTGAAGAGTGGAGGGGTGACGGGAGAAAAAAGGACAGGGCCACAGGACGGTAATAACAGTTATGGCAGAGAATCATCAGAACAGCAATGAAAGGCATAATCTTGTCTAAGATTACACATATGAAACCATTACTTCTGGGGACTCAGAGTTCAATAAACAAGTATAATACTGAGTATCTGGGTAAACAAAACAGAAATAACAAATGAAGGGGCCATTCAAGAGTACAGACCTCTTTTTTCTATTTTACGGTGGGGGGATTTCTATTTGGAGTCTACAGATATATAGCCAAAAGAAACGTGAGAAGGCCCCTCTTTCTGAGGACTCTCTGGTGCATGTGTGGCTCAGTACTGGGGGTAATTCTGCATGACACAAAGTGAAATGGTGGCCAGACCTTGGCCAGACTCCTCCCTCACAGCGACACTGATGCGTACATTCTAGGCAGACCTCAGTTCTTCTTGTCCTTCGGAGGCTGACTTTTTGTGGTCCCTAGGTTGTTCCACACCTCTGTGTACATTAAGGTCCCAGTGAAGACAAACAAGGCACCCAGCCAGTGCCACAGAGTGAAAGGGTTCTGGAAATACAAGATGGAAAAGATGAGGCTCACGAACTTGCGCAGAGTCACGACGAGCGTGACAGTGAGGGAGGCGCATTCTGTGGTGAGGATGAACACGCCCCGGATGCAGACGTACCTGCAGGAGCAGAGTTAAGGTGGTTTTCTACAGACTGCACTCGAGAGATCAGTGGGGAACCTTCTGGCATGGTTCACAGCTTACACTGTCATATTCTAAAAAATATGAGGGCTTGCTATGGCTCCTCTGAGGCTCCTCCTTGGCAGAACATCCTGCAGAATTCCTGTCCTGCCATTCCATTTATGGATCCCAATTTGAAACTGCTTAAAAACCTCCCATTATTCTTATTCTGAATTCTTACAGTTTACAATAAAGGCCACCTCTGAAGTAATGAATGAGGGTGACACTCTCAGTAAGGGTGATCCTATCCACCTTTATTTTATCTCGTCCCCAGCCCTCCCCACCACCTCCAAAAAGGAACTCTGCATGGCAAATATATGCGGTGACTTAAGAGGAATGAGATCAATCCTTAACAACTTTTGGAATAAACTTAAGATCATTCAAAATAAACATTTTTAAAAAATTAAGTCTTGATTAATTTGAAGTTTCTTTTAGGACTCTGTGGTAGCTAGTGATCAAAAATATCCTAGGATACCAGAAAACCCCAGGTAGAAATCACAGATCATTTATGTCCTATACTAGTTTTTAATCAATCAGTGGACTCCTCCACTTCTACCCAGAGCTTTTCCTCCCCATTGCCCTGTGATTTACCGACCTACTCTAGCACTCTTTTTCCCCTACAAATGAACTCGCTAAATGGGTCTGTCTCCTGTCTACTGCAGACTAAATTAAGGCAAAAACTAAACTCATGTCACCATACTGTTAGAAGAAAAGAATAAGCATATGCATGCCAAAATAACATGGAGAAGAAGACGTCAATATGGCAGAAGGCTGCAAAGGATACTGAGTGATGACGTTCATGAGGAGGTAGAACCACATGATGGGCATTGTCACACCGATGACTGGAACCTGATATAATTCTGCAAAGAGTAAGAGAGGATATAGTCATGTCACTTTTTGACAGCTAAACTTTGCATCTTTTAAACAAGGTAATACAGACTGAACACAATAGGGACAGCAATGTTATTTCCTTGCAAATAGATTTGGACTATACACCACTTTACTTGCCTTGATTCCAGTCTGTATTAGCCATGGAGTCTTTGAACTGGCTTCTTAAAACAAATGATAATTTTAATTAAACAAATTATCATTTGTTTTAATTTTTAAGTAAACTCTTTACCATTCCCCTGAATAGGACCTCAGTTTACCAAAAAAAAAAGACTGGAGGCACAGAAGTTCAAAATGACATGGCCTTACCTGACAATCAACACAAAAGGAAAGACAACTAGTAACTCAATACCGTTTGGAGATATGTTCAATCCTACTAGCAATTAAAGAATTCCAAATTAGATAATACTGTACCATTTTACATCTGCTAAATTAGCAATTCAAAATTTATAAATATTATCCTAATCTGACAAGGTGGTAGTGGAACTGGCAGCCATTCAGTTGGGGGTGGTATAAATTGGTGTTATTCTTTTAAAAATCAATTTCATAATCCTTCTTACGGAGCCATAAAAGTATTCATACCTATCCTTAGGAATTAACCCCAGATAACTCTAAAGAAGAAAAGAGTTCTGCATTTATTGCAACACTGTTCATAATAAGGAAAAACTCTGAATCAATATAAATATCCAATGTTGGAGCAATGGTTAAGTAAGCAAAGGTACTAGATGAGGCATTATGCATGTGATAAAAGCAAAAGTCATAAAGACTATATAGTCACATGAAAAACTCATAATAAAAGTTAAAAACAAAATAAAATTATATCTACAGAAGGATTTAACTATATAATAATGTATGTAAGTACATAATGTCTGAAAGAAAACTGGTAAAAATAAAATTAGCAGATGATCTACAGAAGGATTTAACTATGTAATAATGTATGTAAGTACATAATGTCTGAAAGAAAACTGGTAAAAATAAAATTAGCAGATGTACAGGGTGATAGAACAGTGAATAACTGTTTTTTCCTTTAAATAAATTCTTGTGTTAGTTTTATATGAGATTTGCATAGTAAACATTTGGGAGGAAATAAAATACCTAAGGTCAAAGAGAAAAAGGACATAGTAATCTTTAAAGGGTCAGTTTTTTTGTATTGCTAAATTATTTTCAGGGTTTGAATTATGCAGTATAACTTAAGAAATTCTGATAAAGTGATGCTGAGATCTGGTAAGAAAATTAACATTGATTTTCCTTTGCAAATAAAAAAAGTCACATATATATGTATATATAAATAGAGACTTTTTGTAACAACTGTGTGTTCTGGACGAGTGGGCAATGCCAATAATCTGGTATTCTATTGTCTTTGACATACTCAGATAGTACTGAAATAAAAAGGAAGTGAACAAATATGATTACTGTTTAATAACTTCAGAGATCCACTGTATCAATTTTTTGAGGAAAGACAATCAGTGTGACAAACTATTTAGATGAATATTTAGCTCTCCTGGAAAATTCAAGGATAACAGGTTCATCTTAGACACTTCACTGCAAGACAAGCTTGAGAAGAAAATGTGTACTTCACTTTGAAATGATTCTGAAGAAGTTGAAGGGAGATTCTAAAAAAATGTTTTATCATAAATACCCAGCCCTGTGACTTTTAGAAGAAGCATAGCAACTAAATCAATCGCATGGAATTTGATAAGATTTTTATTTCAATAGCCCTTTGCTATGTGGGGACTCTTGGAGAACTTAAAAACTTTGGTGTCAAATATCAAAATGAACTTCCAAGTAATTCAGAGCCTTACAAACTTTCTTACGTACTCCTTCATCACACTTTTTTTCTGGCCAGACAGGAGAGGTAGCACTGCAAATGCAGAGAGCAGTCATACCTTCACAACTAGTGTTCTGATAGCAAACAAATGTCCCCTGAGCACCCACTGTCAGTCTACAAAATGCACTTACCATTTGACGTACATGCAGACTTGACTTTACAAATGTTTATTTGTACCTTGTCTAGATAACACTCATTTGTCTAGATAACACTCTATTCCTGTTAATAGATAATCGGATCATATCAGAGGTTTCCTTCAAGCTAACTGACAATCTATAGTTAATTTATTAAATAGCCACTTTAAAAAGCAATAGCTAACTTACACTGAAGACTCTTGAAACTAATTTTGCTTATCCTGCAGCCTGTCTAACCTGTAACTAGGAAAGAAGCCCTGTTATCACTTTGCTCCCCTCTTGCTCCGCTCCAGGCAGCATGGACTGGATCTGTGAGCAGCTCTGCCTTTCACTGCAGGAAAGGATAAACAGCAGCAGAGAGCACTGGACTGCTGCCCAACTTCACAGGGCTCCGATCCCAGTAGTGCGTTATTACTATGTGCTAGCATTCTCAAAACTTCAAACATTCCACATTCGAATGCAAACACAAATTCCAAAGCAAAATAGAAAATGTGAAAATATTCTTTTACTTCATTTGCATATAATTCAGAAGCACCTGTAAAACCTTTTGCTGCTGAAACTACTGACTAACAGTGCTATATTCCTGGAAGGTAGAATGGGGATGGTTTGGAGATTGACAGGTGATTTGGATAAGATCATGAAAAAAGACGTGAATCAAGAGAAAAACTGAGACTTTGCCTCTGAAACTGTCAGATAATTCTACCATATAATGCCAAACTCACCAGACTTATTGAATAGAACTGCATGTTCATAAATATCAGATGCCAAGAAGACGAAACCGGGAAGTGGGAGAGCATGCTATAGGAAGAAAGAGGTGACATAAATATAAATGCAAAATAATTAGAGTAACTTTACAATGACTGAAAGTTGTACAACTTGTTTGACAAGCAATATAAAGAAAAGCAAATTAGCCTTATTAAGTTAAATGTATACAGTGCTTCCGGCCACTTGACATTGTATGGCATGATATCCACTCCAAAAGTATGGTTCTTGCCCTTATAAAGTCTGATGGCCATCACAGACAAAGCAAAACATGGAGCTGGCATCCTTTCCTCAACGCTTCTTCAACAAAAGGGAATGGGGAAATTCAAACGCATAGTCATTCTGCCCAAAAAGATTTGCTGTTTCCCTATTTTTGAGAAAGTTAAGCAAATATAATGGACTTAAAAATTAAAAAGAATGCCAAGACAGATTTCAGGGAGTTTAGGAAACTAGTTGGATAAAACTAGTTGAGAATAATATTAGGTAAGGGAAAAAGAAATGAAGACAAGAGTAAAAAGAGGTTGAAGAGAAAGAGGAAACAATAGGTAAACAAAGCTTTAGGTGCTTGGCAATAACCCACCACCATCACCACAACAGTAATAATGAACCACAGCTAACATTTACTGAGCAATTACTATATGCTGGACATTGTTCTAAGCAAAAGATGTGAACCAAATAAAATGGCTAATTTAAAAAAGTTCCCAGACACATACTCTAGTTCCAATTAAATATCTCAAATTGCTTATTTGCAACTTCAGTACAAAAAGTTGGCAGTGAAGAAGTCCTTGGAGAACTGAGCATGGAGGAAACTGTCTCACCCTGACCTTGAGGGGCTGTGCTTTGGGCATATCTCAATAGGAAAGGAGGAGGTGAAGGAGGAAAGTTAGAGGAGGTGGCACTAGATCAGCAGTTTAAAACAGAGGCTCAAGCACATGTAATTAGGCAATTAAACTCTATCAAATGAAAAAAGCCCATCTGGGGGACTTACTCCCCTCAACCCCATCTTCCCCCAACTAGCCCAGATGCCTGCCTACATACATTCCCCTTGGCATATTGCTTTTAGAACTTATTTTCCCTTTCCAGCTTTCCATTGGTTTTAATAACCTGATTTCATCTACAAGAACACTGTGGGTTAGGGTTCCTTGTCCCTTCAGGTTGCCTCTGGTTAACAGACATGTTTTATTCACATTGACTGATGTCATCAGCTTGTGTAGAGAACTGTGGCTCAGAATGCACATAAGCACCCTGTCAAAAGGACTTTAGTCTCCTGGTCTCAAAGCCATTTACTGATGATACACTGATCCTTAAATTGCATCAGAAGAATGGCATATTGCACTTGAACTAACAAATACAGCTTAGTAATTTTCATCTTCCCCAGGTTCGAGAAGTTGCTTACATTATAAAACAAAGCCTCCTTGGAGTGTTTCCCAAATTGTTTATATAGAGTCTCTTGGAATATGCCCATTCTTGCTGACATCAGAAGAGCAAAAGTCAGTGCCCCAATACCTAAAAAACAAACATCAGGTTAGAAGATGCTTGCATGTGTTAATTTCCAGATGCTTTCCTAAAGAATATTTATTGATTGTTTAAAGTTCTACAAATAATATAAACTAATTGTAGAACATGTACAAAACTTTAACAAATAAAAATCAACCATAATATTACCACCCAGTCCTTTATAGTTTTCTACATCACCATATATATTTATGCATATATTTTTAAACTAGGACAAGGATCAGATTGTATACACCGTTTTACATATTGCTTTCCTCACAGTCTTCCTGGACTTCTCCTTCAAGTCATTCATTAAAATGTTTTAAAGTATGATTTCAAGACTCCATATTATTCTATTGTGGATGTACCATACTTAAATGTTTTACATTATGAGAATAGATGAATTATTTCCAATTATTTCATAATTAAAATCAATGTATATCCTTATGCAAAAATCTTTAAACAAAATGTTGATTATTTCCTTAGGATAAACTTCTTAAGTGGAATTAGTCAAACATTGTGGACATTTTAAACACTCAATACACAACATTTTGCCAGAAAGGCAGTATCAATTTACCTCCCAGTTTATATGAAAATGGTTGTCTTACTGCACTCTCAGCAGCAATGAGAATAATCATTTATTATCTTGCCAATATGATAGGCCAAAAATAACAAAGGGCAGTATCAATTTACCTCCCAGTTTATATGAAAATGGTTGTCTTACTGCACCCTCAGCAGCAATGAGAATAATCATTTATTATCTTGCCAATATGATAGGCCAAAAATAACAA